ATAACTCACCCACACAGTCAAGCGTCACCACCCGACCAGCCAACACTCAGCTCTTGTCAGTCGGCGCGAGTCACAACCCAGTGTCCATTCTTACCACCATCCACTCCTGCTAGCGTCCACTCCTACCAGCGTCCACACTTACCAGCGTCCACTCTTACCAGCGTCCACTCCTACCAGCGACCACTCCTTCTAGCGTATATAAAAGGACAAGTCACCAGCCAGCATCCGTTCGTGCTAGCGTACAGTATATAAGAGAACGAGTCACTACCCAGCATTCACTTCTACTAGCATATATACACAGAACAAGTCACCAACCAGCGTTCATTCCTGCTCGCGTTTATACACACTGACGTAGCTCGCCCTCCATACTCAAGTAAGTTTAAGGTGAATTTTAGTTAAGTCATGTAAGTTTTAGGTCTCTGTTACTCGAGTTTTAGGTCCTCATTCTTCAAGTTTTAGTCCTCACTCCTTCAGATTATTTTGAGGCCTTTAATTATCTACTCCACACTCAAGTATCTACTCCACACTCAGGTATCTACTCCACATTCAAGTATCTACTCAACACTCAAATATCTACTCCACACTCAAGTATCTACTCCACATTCAAGTATCTACTCAACACTCAAATATCTACTCCACACTCAAATATCTACTCCACACTCAAATATCTACTCCACACTCAAATTTTACGACAGATTTTGTAATTTGTTGTATTTTAAGCAAAAACATAAGCCAACACTGTATCCAAAACCACATGCTGTACCTTGTTCTGAAATTGATCTATAATACATTACAGTAGACAACATATATAACTTTTTAAAATACATATTGAATTTTTTTTTCATAGACCATTCTGTATTTAATAATTACACTCCATTCTAAACCACAGGTATAAACTACAGCCATTACTGTACCCACAACTACTCTTTACTGAATCATGTAACTGAGTCAAATACGTAATTTACATACTGATGTTACTTAAAAATAAAGGCCTCTATTTTAGTTTACCGCTCTTTCTTAAAACTATTATTTAGTCTCAAGTGCACTGTCCTCCAAAACACACGCACTATATTACAGTCATCGCTGTAACCGGAAGTATGTATTATGTAACTCAAATAAACGCTGTAAGTTAAGGTATAATAACTTCTATTGTATCTTAAATCATTCTGTATCTTTTAAGTTATGTAATATTTTCATACCACATGCTATAATGAACACTAAACTTCGCTTTTATTTTGTATTCTGTAACTTGCACAAAAAAAATACAAAAATAGAATCATACATTTGTTTCTTCTCGTTCAATAAGTTAATGAATGAGAATTTCCTTCGTTTCCTGTTAAACACACGCTCTCTCTCTCTCTCTCTCTCTCTCTCCCGGCCAAGTATATGACAGAAACAAACAAACCACAACCGCTCCACAAATAGTCATGTCACTTATATGACAGTCAACAAACAAACACTACCACGCCACAAACACTGTCATCCCACGTATATGACAGTCAACAAACAAACACCAGAGTATCACAAACACTGTCATGACACGTATATGACAGAAACAAACAAACAAACACCACCGCATCACAAACTATGCAATGTATGTGTGTCAAACGTATGCGTGTCCAAGCAGAAGAAAAACAAAAAGCAAAAACACAATTTACATTCATTGTTATATGTGGCTGTCAGTTCAGTCTGTCTCCAGCAACACCTACAGTGGGATCTTGTAGGGGCAACCTGTGTGTTTACGGGTGTTTTCTGTAATGTGTAGTGTATGCCCCAGTGTATTGAGTGTAATGTGTAGTGTATGCCCCAGTGTATTGAGTGTAATGTGTAGTGTATGCCCCAGTGTATTGAGTGTAATGTGTAGTGTATGCCCCCAGTGTATTGAGTGTAATGTGTAGTGTATGCCCCAGTGTATTGAGTGTAATGTGTAGTGTATGCCCCAGTGTATTGAGGTAATGTGTAGTGTATGCCCAGTGTATTGAGTGTAATGTGTAGTGTATGCCCCAGTGTATTGAGTGTAATGTGTAGTGTATGCCCCAGTGTATTGAGTGTAATGTGTAGTGTATGCCCCAGTGTATTGAGTGTAATGTGTAGTGTATGCCCCAGTGTATTGAGTGTAATGTGTAGTGTATGCCCCAGTGTATTGAGTGTAATGTGTAGTGTATGCCCCAGTGTATTGAGTGTAATGTGTAGTGTATGCCCCATTGTATTGAGTGTAATGTGTAGTGTATTATGTGTATTCATTACTGTATTGGGTGTATTCAGTAGTGTATGTAGTATTGTATTGTAGTGTAATTCAGCGTAGTCTTTTTCAGTGTATTTTTCAGTATGGGGGTCTTTATTTTGTGTATTTTTCAGTGTAAACAGTGTAGCCTTATAAGGTGTTATTCTCAGTGTATTCTAACGTACAGTCTATCTCCACACCGTCCTCAATAATACACACACACACATACACACACACACACACACACACATACACACACACACACACACACACACAGTAACTCTCTCTCCTCTCTCTTTTTCTTTCTTCTCACACACAGACACACACACTCACTTTCTCTCTCTCTCTCTCACACACACACACACACACACACACACACACACACACACACACACACACAGACTTCCGCCACATTTGCATATTATATTTTCGGCCACAAAGAGCCAGGCAGAGATTTCGCGGCTTTCTCCTCCCTGAATTGCGACGCGGTGCTAAATATTGAAAATTGCAGCGGGGAGTTTGCCAGTAGGTGGAATATTGCTGTGTTGGTGGTGGTGGTTAGTGGTGGGGAAGTGATGGTGTGGTGATAGTGTGGTGTGGTGATAGTGTGGTGTGGTGATGGTTGTTGGTGTGGTGTGGTGTGGTGATGATATGGTGGTGGTTTTGTGTTCTAGTAATGGTGGTTGTTGACGAGTGTTAGTAGTGGTGGTGATTGTGGTTGGTGGTGGTGATGGTGGTTAGTATTTGGTATGGGTTGGTATTGACGTTGGCTGGTAGTGGTCCTGGATTAAAAATACTTTGAAAAAATTACAAAAAATCAGTCCTCTGATTTTTTGAAAATCGTTCTTTTTTTGTTTGTTTGATGCTAACTATTTCTGGTCATCTGAAGAATCTCTCCCACCCTAAATTATTTCAACTAAAGCTTTATAACCACTCTAACACTATTTAAGTGAATCATGTCACAGAAAACGGGAAACGCCACAAAACAATCACAGAAAACGGGAAATGCCATACGAAAACTATCACAGAAAACGGGAACAAACCCTAAAAAAAACGAACACAGAAACCGAGAATTGCTCTTTAAAATAAAAATAAAAAGTACACGCCAATCACACACACATTTTACCTCCATTGTGTATTGAATAGCCGCGACACACAACAGCATAGTACTCACAATAAAAAGAAGTACCATTTTGTGTGGCATTTAGTACATTGAGGGTCATATTAATACATATATCTGGCCATTTTGTCGGGGTGAAAATGGAATTGTTTTTTGTGGGGCTCAAAGTGATTTTAATTGAGCATACTATAATGTTATCGCCAGGTACTTATTGTGATTGTCAGGGAGTGGTGGGAAGGGGGGGGTGTGAGGGAGGGAGAAAGAGGGGTTTAGGGGGTGTTGGTGTGAGGGGAAAAGGGAGGAAGGACAGGGATTTGGATAGAAGGAAGAGAGATTTAGGGAGAGTGGGAGAGGGAGGGAAGGGAGGGAAGAGGCAGATTAATAACAGTGGGAGGAATGGGATGGGAAGTAATTTGAGGAAGGGATAGAAATAGGGAGAATGAAGAAAAGTTGTGAGATGGGACAGGAGAGAAGGGAGAGACATGTGAGAGAAAGAAGAATAGAAAAGAAGGAAGGGAGGAAGGAAGGAAGGTTACATGTGGGGATGCATAAGAGAAATAGGGGATGAAGGGAATAAGAAAAGAGAAGACGGGAATATGGATGGGAAAGACAGAGACAAGAGAGGAGGAGGAGGAGAAGTAAGAAGAATGTGGGTGTGGAAATAAGTAATGTGAATAAAGAGGGGAGGAGGACGAGGAGGCAGAAGGACTGTTAAAGAAAGGTAAATTGTGTGGAGGAGAGGCGTGTGGGAGAGGAAGGAGGGTCGTTTACGAGAGAAGGAAGGGACACGTGGAAGAGAGGGAGACGTGAGGGGTTTCGTGGGAGAGGAGAGAGGGTCGTTTACTGTAGGAGAGGAGGAGGTGCGTGGGAGAGGGAGGAATGCGCAGGAGAAGCGGAGGTACGTGGGAGAGGAGGGAGGAATGCATGGGAGAGGAGAGGAGGAAGTGCATGGGAAAGGAGTGAGGAATGTGTGGGAGAGGAGGGAATGTCATTTGTAAGAGGACAAGAAGGGAGGGGTGCATGAGAGAGAAGGGAATGGCGTGTAAGAGAGATAGGAGAGACATGTGGGAAAGGTGAGAAGGGGTGATGGTGAGAGGAGAGGTATTTGAGGCAATATTCCTACACTATCAAGTATGATTGTCAATACCAGGCAAGAATGACACTCGATGCCTGTCTTGAGTGTGTGTGTGTGTGTGTGTGTGTGTGTGTGTGTGTGTGTGTGTGTGTGTGTGTGTGTGTATGTTTACGTCTGTGCGTGCGTACGTGTTAGTGTATTACGTGCATGTACTTGATCAGACAACCTCATCACAACAAAATATACACCAAGAATAATATTTAGTCAATGAAATAAACAAAAGAAGAAGAGAGATGATAAAGGAGGAGTCATCAGGTGTAGTTAGGCCTAGAGTCAGACCTGTACATCCTCCCTCTATTACCCACTAACCCACACTGACAGCCGAGAGCCAGTAGGATGGTGCCTGTGCTAATGGAGAAGATATTGTACTGCTCTATGAATATCTTCCTGTTCATTTTTTTTCCTATAGTAATAATAATAATAATAATAATAATAATAATAATAATAATAATAATAATAATAGAATTCAGTAAATGTGTAAAATTCGTTGTTTATTGTACTGATGATTTGACATTTTTTTTAACCAAATTAATGGTTTTTACTGTGCTTACAAATATAAAATGAATCGTACGCCCGTCAGCCCCGAAGAGGCTTATAGATTCAGTATATATATATATCAACAAAAACAGTCCACCAAAGTCAAACAACTGATAAAAACAAGTGTCCCCCCCCCCCCAAAAAAAACAGCAGACAACCAAAACCAAACATAGGTTCGTTTTCTGTGACGCAGTATCTGGCCAGTTGAGTGTGTGACGCAACATACCAACAGCGTCACACACACTCACACCACTTGCCAGCCTCGACCACCCCGAAGTAATAATGAATGACCTCACGTATACCTCTAGCGTCTCGATATGTCTGGCTCTCTCTCTCTCTCTCTCTCTCTCTCTCTCT